TGTTACGTCTCCGTTTGTTAATTAACTTTCCGTAACTTCGTTCCGACAAAACTTTAGCGACACAAGTTCTTTACTTAATAAAACTGGTTTATTCTTTCCGAATACAACTTTACCGATACACTCAACTTCAACAATCGCGCTAAACAAACGCTATAACAACGAACGTGCTCAATAATACTTCTGTTACGTCTCCGTTTGTTAATTAACTTTCCGTAACTTCGTTCCGACAAAACTTTAGCGACACAAGTTCTTTACTTAATAAAACTGGTTTATTCTTTCCGAATACATCTTTACCGATACACTCAACTTCAACAATCGCGCTAAACAAACGCTATAACAACGAACGTGCTCAATAATACTTCTGTTACGTCTCCGTTTGTTAATTAACTTTCCGTAACTTCGTTCCGACAAAACTTTAGCGACACAAGTTCTTTACTTAATAAAACTGGTTTATTCTTTCCGAATACATCTTTACCGATACACTCAACTTCAACAATCGCGCTAAACAAACGCTATAACAACGAACGTGCTCAATAATACTGCTGACTGCAGATCAATTACTCACTATCTATACACACATTACCTTACCTTCACGTTGTCCCCTCTTATATATACCCGCCTACCCTATCTAGTAAATACTAGAGCATTCATGAAAAAACAAGATAGTTCTAGAAACTAGAGGGCGCCACACCAGTCACGTGACCTCGATGACGCAACACAACTCACTCTACTGTTATAGTGTCAACTCTTCTAGAATGCGACATACGCCACTTCCTCAACCCGTAAGTAAAAACAAAAAGGACATAATCTCCAGATGTTTTTAAGGCTCTCCACTATCGATATTACTAGAAAACATGTAAGTATAATTTTAAGGAATTCTCCAATAACATCTTTCATAAGAGAGTTCAGCAACACCAAAAGAGTGATGGTCCTTCATAATGTGTGACTAACCTAATATATGTACATCACATATACTAGAGAGAACTGAATATATTATATTAAATCGAGAGAGAACTGAATATATTATATTAAATCGAGTTGTAAGTCGTCACGTCATTACAGTTGAGGCCCGGCATGGCCAGGTGGTTAGGGCGATCGACTCGCAATCTGCGGGTCGCGGGTTCAAATCCCTGTCACACCAAACATGCTCGCCCTTTCAGCCGTGGAAGCGTTATAATGTGACGGTCAATCCCACTATTCGTTGGTAAAAGAGTAGCCCAAGAGTTGGCGGTGGGTGGTGATGACTAGCTACCTTCCCTCTAGTCTTACACTGCTAAATTAGGGACGGCTAGCGCAGATAGCCCTCGTGTAGCTTTGCGCGAAATTCAAAAAACAAACAAACATTACAGTTGTTACGTCTCGGTTCGTTAGTTAATTTTCCGTAAAAATTATTTCCGAAGAAACTTTACCGATACAAGTCCTTTCTTAAATAAAACTGGTTTATTCTTTCTGAATACAACTTTGCGATACACTTAACTTCAACAGTCGCGCTATAACAAACGCTATAATTCACAACGAACGTCTCACGTGCTCAACAATATTCTCTCTCCGCAGTTCAATTACACATTCTCTCCGTTGTTTCTTGGCTGGTCTTATATATACAAGACTAAACCAATCTAGTAATCTCCGGACATTTCATGAAGGTTCGAGAAGGAAAGTGGCGTGATACAATCGTCACGTGACCTGCGTTGTCGTAACACAGTAATGTCATCATTTCTGGCCATGCTTTTTCTGATGACCATGTAGCATAGTTTCCATTGCAAAAAGGATTTGTCATAAGACTGTCATGTTCAAAACACACTATTCCTCTCTACATACTTTCCATAAGTCATCTAGTATACTAGAACAATGGCTTCCTAGCACCCAGTTCAATAGTTCGATTGTACAGAAATCAATAGGTGTTGCATCTACCGACCTGGCTAGCATGTTTTCGTATAGAATAGCATGAATAACCATTTCATTCTCCAGGTAGAAATGGTTGAGAAATGACTGGAAGCCTTGTATTGATAAGTCAATACCTTGTTAGCTTCATTTCCAGATGGAAATTATATGTTATTATGTGCCGTACTGTAGCCTGAGATACGTGGGTGGATTTTGCCACTGTCTTTTGTGGTTAGTGATTCTCACATAGTACAATAAACTGCACTTTGCTTATCATGGCTGAAGTATGAGTTGTTTCAGGTCTCTTTCTGGATGATCCTGTTTCATAACGTTGATCTGTATTCCTTTGTTTACCACAGCCATTAAGTATAATGGATATCTTCATCTTAGGGTTTCGAATCACTGATATGAACATATCTTTATAATCTGAATGTATAAATCTTTTGTATCGGAAAGGGCTGTTACATACACAATAATCAATTTTTCACACTGTCTACAGTACCGCAAATAATGTCAAAATATTGTTCTGATACATTCCATTCTACAGCGAATTTGTATCAGTGGTGCTTATCACGTGACTTACTGAATTACGTATTCAACCCTGTACAAGTTCAACTAATATATGAGAGTAAAAACAAATTTGAAAGTTTGGTGAACGAGAATTGTTAACATTTCTAACCTAAAAAGAAAAGTAGCATCTACCCAGATAAAAGTCAAAAGTTGGACCAACATTGGCTAATGAGCATCCTTGGTACATCCCAATATCTACTCACCATCATGTAAATGACTACTAGGTAACTAAAAACTGAAATAGCAGACAAAGTTTGGGCCAATATCAGCCAGACACATCTAATTACATAAGCCAAAGATTTGCAAACAAGATGTTGGCCTATAGCAATTTGCAAAGCCTTTAGTTGGACCAATATGTTGATTAATTGTTGGCCCAACGTAAGCATCCAATTTTTAGTTGTTGGCCCAATGCTCTGGTAATGTTAGCCCAAGAAAATAAAGTATACCTATTTAAAGATATCAGCTTATTTTAATTAATAATACATAAGCAATTATATGTAACGGGGTGTAGATCTATGGGTGTAAATAGTTTTTAGGAAAATATTTTTCATCTTCTCATTCTTATTATC